TCTATTTTTCTTTCTTTCTATGTTCTTTTGAAACTCTTCGTTTTATATCATTTTTTATCGAAATTACTGTCTCTCTATCGGTTATTCTCCCTCCTCTCTCTCTCTCTCTCTGTCTATCACTCTTTGTTTATAGTTTTTGTTATTATACGCATTCTTTTTCACTATCTATTTCTTTTCTTTCTTTATTTCTTCTTTTAAAATTTTTCCTTCGTTTTCTCAAGTTTTTTTCCTCTAAATGACCGTCACTTTTTCGCTTATTCTCTCTTTCTTGTTTCTATTTCGATTCGCATTCTTTCCCACACTCTCTTCTTTCTTTGTATATTTCTTCATTTTAAACACTTTCCTTGTTTTTATTCTATTAATCTCTTCAGATGACTATCACTCACTTATTATCTCTATTTCCACAGCTCTCTCTCTCTCTCTCTCTCTCTTCTCTCTCCCTTTATTTTATTCATCTTCTTTCTCTTCTGTCTTTCTTTCGTTCTTCTTTTGAAACTCTTTCCTAGTTTTCTATCATTTTTTTTTCATCTAAATGGCTGTCACTTTCACTTATTCTCTCAGCCTCGCCTTCTTTCTATTTCTCGTTCTTATTCTTATTCTCGTTCTTTTTCACACTATTTCGCTTTTTTTTTTCTTCCTGTCTTATTCTGAAACTCTTTCCTTCCTTATATTCTATCATTTGATCCGGATGGCCATCACTCTTTCTCTTATCTCGACATTTATTTCTCTCCTAATTTTTAATTTATATTCGTGCTCTTCCTCACACTATCTCTCTCTTTCTTTCTTTCTTTCTTTCTTTCTTTCTTTCTTTCTTTCTTTCTTTTCGCCCTGTTTCTTTCTTTCTTCCTTTAATCGCTTTCCTTGTTTTTTCTTAAAGTAGTCTGTTTTTTTTTTTTTAATTATTTGCTCTGGATGTACATTGAGCTCTCTGGATTTTATCCTCCATACGGATTACCTAGTTTTTCATAAGCTATATATATATATATATATATATATATATATATATATATATATATATATATATATATATATATATATATATATTGAGACATGTTTCATTGAAAAATTTAGACAAGTTTTTCTACTTATTTTCAGTTGGATCCTTTCATATTCACGGACGAGCTTTTGGTGTCATTATATAAAAAAAGAGAGAACATTAATCGTGATGATGCATATTATTTTATTCCGAGTACTTCCGACATTAGCAGAATGTCATCATCAGGGTGTTGTTTATTTCAAGACAAATATTGTAGTGTTCATCATTTTCAAAGACAAAATTACTATGTTCATTTGAAAGTTAATATATATATATATATATATATATATATTATTAATAATAATAACAATAATAATAATAATAATAATAATAAAAGGGTAATCCGTCTAGAGTTTCCGATAGTATATAGATCCAGGGAGAGCTCCATGTCAGAGACAGTACAAAATTATTATTATTAATTAATGAATATCAAAACAATATCAGACTATGGAATTTTAACTGTTTGATAGTCATTAATTAATTATATATATATATATATATATATATATATTAAAGACATTTTTATTTATGTTTAACGTTGTTATTTTATAGATACAAGTATTTAAGCAAATGCTCTGTTTAAGATAAACAGTATTAAATAACATTTACCGGCCTGAATGTCCGAGAAATTTTCATAGAAAATATTCGTTCATAGACAGGATTCGAACCTGAATCCTATACGGAACTGTTATATACGCTGACATGCCTTAACCACTCGGCCACCATGAACCTTATGGTAGACAAGGTCGAATTTTACTGTTATAAACTACAATCTTCCATGAATCTCGTACATTCATAACTGCTCTGGCGTATCGAATGTAAACAAATGACGTCATATGTTAAGAAATGGACAAGGTCCGACAATTTATTTATTAAAGACATTTTTATTTATGTTTAACGTTGTTATTTTATAGATACAAGTATTTAAGCAAATGCTCTGTTTAAGATAAACAGTATTAAATAACATTTACCGGCCTGAATGTCCGAGAAATTTTCATAGAAAATATTCGTTCATAGACAGGATTCGAACCTGCATCCTATACGGAACTGTCATATACGCTGACATGCCTTAACCACTCGGCCACCATGAACCTTATGGTAGACAAGGTCGAATTTTACTGTTATAAACTACAATCTTCCATTAATCTCGTACATTCATAACAGTTATAAATTTTCATATGAACGAATATTGTTATTTAATACTGTTTATCTTAAACAGAGCATTTGCTTAAATACTTGTATCTATAAAATAACAACGTTAAACATAAATAAAAATGTCTTTAATAAATAAATTGTCGGACCTTGTCCATTTCTTAACATATATATATATATATGCTCCCGGATATACGGTTGAGCTCTCTAAGGAAAGGGGGTTTTAAAAACAGCGGCACCTACTGCTATTAAAAATTACTCTTCAAGTATGAATTGAGTTCTCCGAGCCGCTGGCGTATTTCGTATGGAGAA